GCTCCATATATTTGCTTGCCCAAATTTGATTAAATATAAAACTTCAGCGCTCACACGGAAATGAAATTAAAGTTAATTGGTTCTGCAAGCTTTGCACCTCAACTTGCAGCAATATGTGCATAGCCCCTCATTTGTAAAATGGCCATACATTATAGGTTGTTTGCACATAACGTCAATTTGGCATTTTGTTGTTAGCTTGTTTTTTCACACAAATTTACTACATTGAAGGATTACATCGTAACCGGTTGAGATGATGTCAGCGGTGCTCTACGCATTTGAGGGGGCGTGTCAATCCTTGGAATGCTCGAGTTTGGCACACGCCAGACAGCTCACAACAACAAAATGGTGGACGAAATTACGTCAGTGAAAACACCCTATAGCTACCTTTATCTTGTGGACTGGGAGCCAGCGTGTTTATCGAAGTGCTAGACGACTGGGACGAACCACTAGCACCTGTTTGGAGATGTCTGATTAAGTTGGGAATTGGTAACATTAGAATACAAAAAGCGAAAAACAATATAAGTGGTTTTCAGGAGAAACTGTACCTCGCATTAGTGCAGCTTGCGACATTTCACTGTGTATTGATCTTGCCGGGCTCGCACTCTGTGATTCCAGTCTCTGGCTACTGGCTGTGAAAAGCGACCAGAAAACCTCAAATTGTAAGATGAAAAAAGTACAAATTGATCTCCCAAAATATAAAAAATGCAGTTGTGCCCCAACCCCCTATATAAGCACATTGTTTACGTAAAACGACAGATCAAGTACGTCTGACGACACACCCTAGACTTATCAAGTGCCAGGTTCGAATTCTAAGCTAAAGGTTAAGAAACAGTTGCAACGGTCAACAAGGCTGTCAGCTGCAGAACAAAATAAAAATCAAATAGCGTTACGCGAGTTCTGCCGTGCGCAGAGCGGCATCGGGGCTTCCGGGAATTCATCCGAGCTTGAGTCGGACTCGCTCCAGCGTGTGGGGCGAAATCTCCTACGCTTTGGGCGTATCTCCTCGTCCGAGAGATCAGATGTGAACCGCGACCGCTCCAACTTAGATCGCCCTTCTTCGTAGGAATCTGTAGTTACATAAGAAAAAAATACTTACAATTAATGAACACTGCTGCACGCATGAAGAGATGCAATATACTCACTGAATAGTCCTTTCACAGTCACCTCGAACTCAGAAAACCCTGGTCCTGGTGGCCCCCCCTTTCGCACTAGCTTGACAGCCTTATCGGTGGACACCTTCGGCCATAAACACTTGTTTCCCGTGACCCACGTGCAAGGCACGATCTCCACCTCTTGGGTTAGCGTAAATTCCACAATTGCATACATCCCTGAAAATGAACAGAAAAACTGATGTGAGAAAGTCATCAACACTAACCGGATCTAAAAAGTTATGCAAAAGCTAAACATTTACCTTGAGCTGCTGAAATGGCGGCGGTTTCACGGTACCGTCGCTTTCACCGACAGTAAAACGTAAAACCCGGTCGTGGTAACACCAGAGTCCAAACCACGCGCTCCTAGAGCCGACAATGCACAAATATCGATGGATTTCGTTGGCTATGGATTTTAACGAATATGTGACACTAGCGGCACCTAGAAAAGTTGAAAAGTACATGACGTCGGGGTTAAACATCAATAAATAAATAAATTGGTAGCGTTTGTTTTATTCGTACATTAGTTTGGTGACTCATAAATTTAAACAAATCTCCACAGACAAATTATAACTGCACGCACTGCACGGTCGTATCGTCAACGTCATCCCTCTACGCGTTGCATAACGCGCTGACTTCTTGAATTGCAGCTTACGCCAACACGCTCGTCAACAAGCAGTAAAATAATCGTGCCCAATTTTGAACAACAAACAAGAAAAGTAGCGAGAAGAATATTCTTATTGAATCATATCCCGTCTAACCACTCCCGCCTTGGCTGGCAACCCGAGTTTCGAATTTGTTCTTTTTTGTTTGTTGCTTTCGTGTCCACGTTGTTGCTGTCGCATGTCGATACAACGGTGTCACGAAATTTTTTTATTTCTGTTTTAAGTAGTATTGTGTTTATGTCGCAGTACTGACGTTGGACAATTTTACAGAAGAACTGTTCGTCTAGTTGAACCATCTGCTTGAGTTGTCCATTTCGGGTTAGTACTTGCTTTCCATACCACGTTGTTTTTTTCCGTCCCCGTCTGTTTTTGTGTAGCTCGAAATTCAATCCGTTCGTGTCTTCGTAAGAAGGGGTAATACGGACGTTGGATAGCGTTTCGGAACTTTGGTTCACCTAGTTGAACGGCCTACTTGTATCCATTTTTAGGAAAGTTTAGTCTCATTCTGAACCGCTTCGTTATTTCGCGCATATCATCCGTACCACGCTTTGTTTTTTCCGCCCTCGCCCGTTCCCGTCTGGCTGGAACTTCATTTCGTTTGTGCTTTCGTTTGTAGCCTCCTGGAGGCTTTGTGCACGCGTCTGGCAGTGTTGGGCAAGTTTCATTCACCAGACGGCCCATTTAGAGGAGTTAGTTTAGTCTTGTTATTTGAAGGAGTTTGAGTATTTCGCCCGTATCATCTCTAATGCACAGGTAATCATGCCCAAAGTCAAAGAAAAGTCCTACACACTCAAAAAAGCCTCACAGAAAACAAAAGAGATATTTGAAAACTTTGGGCACCCTTGCTTCCAGCAAGTTACACTACCTGTGCTAACGGATGCCATAGACAAAAATGGCTCATGTACATCAGCAGCACACACATGCAGTGGCAGCGTCTCTGCCCTTTTGAGTTCAGATTCATGCGGCAGCCAAGATTGCAGCAACGAGGGACTACCTGTGGCTCAGGGTGGTGATGCAGCAGCTCGGCTACCAATTACGCCCTTAGAAGTGGCACAGATCGAGTATTCGGATGCGGAGGAGATAGAGGATAGTGTGCCTTACTCAGCTCTTGCGAGTTACAGTCCTCATTCCAAGCCTACTTTCTCTGGCTGCGTAAACACGGAGCCAGTTGCTGGATCTGGTAATTTGGCTGCAGAACTGAAGACTTGGGCTCTCAAAGAGAATATTCCACAGACCGCTGTAACGTCCCTCCTTAAGGTCTTGAAGTCACGACCTTTTGATCCAGCATGTCTTCCGAACGATGCTCGCACTCTACTCGGTACACCTAGAGACACGATGCGTACTCCAGCTGTAACTGCGATGCCCCCGGGAGATTACTGCCATTTCGGGCTGGAGTACCAGCTGAGAAATATCCTCTCACATGCACATTTTGAAGGTAGGTCTATTGCCCTGTCTTTCAACATCGATGGATTACCCATTTCAAAAAGCAGAAAGATGCAGCTGTGGCCCATCCAGTGCATGGTTATTGAACTTGGCAAGGCAGCCCCTTTTGTTGTTGGTGTTTTTGCGGGAGAGTCAAAGCCAGCATCGGCAAATAATTTCCTGGCTCCTGTTGTGGGCGAGCTGCTACAGCTTTTGTCTCAGGGAATGAGCTTCAAGGGGCAGATGATAGAGGTCTCGGTGAAGAGCTTTATTTGTGACGCACCTGCACGGTCGTTTGTGTACAGCATTAAGGGTCACACAGGATACTCGGGATGTCTGAAGTGCATTGCAGAGGGCACATATACAAACAAAAAGGTTTTTTATCCATCGAAAATTTCCACCCTGCGGACTGATGATTCTATAAGGCGCCAGACGGATCCCGATCATCATCATGACGTCTCAGCCCTGACAGAGCTTCCAATCGACTGTATCAGCACCGCGCCCCTTGACTACATGCATTTGCTATGTCTCGGTGTTCAGAAGAAGCTGCTCGGCTTATGGTTGGGTGGGCCCTTAGATGTGCGCCTTGGCCCTGTAGGCCGAAAGCGATTGTCTGACCTAAACCTTTCTTTAGTTGCACACGTGCCTGGAGAATTTGCACGTAAGCCGAGAGGCACAGCGGAGGTCGACCGGTGGAAGGCGACAGAGTTTAGACTTTTCCTTCTTTACACTGGGCCGGTAGTACTTAAGACCGTTCTGTCCCCTGACCTTTATAACAACTTCCTTGCTTTGCACTGCGGCACATTTCTCGTATCGAGCCCAACTTTGTGTCATCAGTACGTAGATTACGCAGAGTCACTTTTCCAGCACTTCGTGAAAACGTTCGCAAAACTCTATGGAGAAGACCAGGTGTCTTACAACATCCACTGTGTCTTACATCTTGCAAGTGATGTGCGCAACCAAGGTCCGCTAGATACGTTTAGTGCGTTTCCTTTCGAAAATAACATGCAGTGCCTGAAGCGACTCCTCAAGAGTCATAATACTCCACTGGCTCAACTGTATAACCGTCTGAAGGAGTGTGAGGGCATGGCGGCGACTGCCAAGACACCTCTGGATTCTGTCCAGCTTGGAAAACAGCATACAGATGGGCCTCTCCCGCCCGATTGTACACCACCCCAGTACAAGTCTGCAACCTTTGCTGATTTCGTGCTCGCCGTAGACCTGGCCAACAACTGCTGTATGATTGATGACGCTATTGTCCTCGTAGACAATTTTGCGCACTCTAGATCTACACAGGCGCCTTGCATCATTGGTCGAGAACTCGTCGTAAAGGAAAACTTCTATGATAAGCCATTTTTATCGGGTACCATTGGTGTTTTTGTAGCCTCCCAGCCTTCTTACACAAAATGCTGGTCATTGAAGAATGTACGTAAATTGGTCCGGTTGCCTTGGGGAGCGAAATCGGTGGTCATTCCACAGCTGCATACACTTTAACTCCACGCCTGGGGCCAGCACCATCCATTCTGCCACTGAAAGCTACAGGTACGTTGACGGTGTACGTGAAAATAACCCTCACTCATGCCTTTGTCAACGTGTTTTCTTAGAGCTGCACGGTGGAGAGGGGTTTCCCCACGCCTGGGTCAAGCACATCCAGTCTGCTGCTGGGAGCTACAGGTATGTTGATGGTGTACGTGAAAACAACCCTCACTCATGCCTTTGTCAACTTGTTTTCTTAGAGCTACACGGTGGAGAGGGGTTTCCCTCACGCCTAGGTCAAGCACATCCAGTCTGCCGCTGTGAGCTACAGGTATGTTGACGGTGTACGTGAAAATAACCCTCACTCATGCCTTTGTCAACTTGTTTTCTTAGGGCAGCGCAGTCAAGAAGGATTTCCCCACGCCTCGTCCAAGCACCATCCAGTCTGCCGCTGTAAGCTACAGGTACGTTGACGTTGTACGTGACGATTGCCCGCACTTATGACTTTGTCAACTTGTTTTCTTAGGGCAGCATGGTCAAGAAGGATTTCCCCACGCCTCGTCCAAGCACCATCCAGTCTGCTGCTGTAACCTACAGGTATGTTGACGTTGTATGTGACGATTGCCCGCACTTATGACTTTGTCAACTTGTTTTCTTAGGGCAGCACGGTCAAGAAAGATTTCCCCACGCCTCGGCCAAGCACCATCCAGTCTGCCGCTGTAAGCTAAGGTGCATTGACGTTGTACGTGAGGATTGCCCGCACTCATGCCTTTGTCAATTTGTTTTCTTAGGGCAGCACGGTCAAGAAGGATTTCCCCACGCCTCGTCCAAGCACCATCCAGTCTGCCGCTGTAAGCTACAGGTACGTTGACGTTGTACGTGACGATTGCCCGCACTTATGACTTTGTCAACTAGTTTTCTTAGGGCAGCACGGTCAAGAAGGATTTCCCCACGCCTCGGCCAAGCACCATCCAGTCTGCCGCTGTAAGCTAAGGTGCATTGACGTTGTACGTGAGGATATCCCGCACTCATGCCTTTGTCAATTTGTTTTCTTAGGGCAGCACGGTCAAGAAGGATTTCCCCACGCCTCGTCCAAGCACCATCCAGTCTGCCGCTGTAAGCTACAGGTACGTTGTTGTTGTACGTGACGATTGCCCGCACTTATGACTTTGTCAACTTGTTTTCTTAGGGCAGCACGGTCAAGAAGGATTTCCCCACGCCTCGTCCAAGCACCATCCAGTCTGCTGCTGTAACCTACAGGTATGTTGACGTTGTATGTGACGATTGCCCGCACTTATGACTTTGTCAACTTGTTTTCTTAGGGCAGCACGGTCAAGAAAGATTTCCCCACGCCTCGGCCAAGCACCATCCAGTCTGCCGCTGTAAGCTAAGGTGCATTGACGTTGTACGTGAGGATTGCCCGCACTCATGCCTTTGTCAATTTGTTTTCTTAGGGCAGCACGGTCAAGAAGGATTTCCCCACGCCTCGTCCAAGCACCATCCAGTCTGCCGCTGTAAGCTACAGGTACGTTGACGTTGTACGTGACGATTGCCCGCACTTATGACTTTGTCAACTTGTTTTCTTAGGGCAGCACGGTCAAGAAGGATTTCCCCACGCCTCGGCCAAGCACCATCCAGTCTGCCGCTGTAAGCTAAGGTGCATTGACGTACGTGAGGATTGCCCGCACTCATGCCTTTGTCAATTTGTTTTCTTAGGGCAGCACGGTCAAGAAGGATTTCCCCACGCCTCGTCCAAGCACCATCCAGTCTGCCGCTGTAAGCTACAGGTACGTTGACGTTGTACGTGACGATTGCCCGCACTTATGACTTTGTCAACTTGTTTTCTTAGGGCAGCACGGTCAAGAAGGATTTCCCCACGCCTCGGCCAAGCACCATCCAGTCTGCTGCTGTAACCTACAGGTATGTTGACGTTGTATGTGACGATTGCCCACACTCATGCCTTTGTCAACTTGTTTTCTTAGGGCAGCGCAGTCAAGAAGGATTTCCCCACGCCTCGTCCAAGCACCATCCAGTCTGCCGCTGTAAGCTACAGGTACGTTGACGTTGTACGTGACGATTGCCCGCACTTATGACTTTGTCAACTTGTTTTCTTAGGGCAGCACGGTCAAGAAGGATTTCCCCACGCCTCGGCCAAGCACCATCCAGTCTGCCGCTGTAAGCTAAGGTGCATTGACGTTGTACGTGAGGATTGCTCGCACTCATGCCTTTGTCAATTTGTTTTCTTAGGGCAGCACGGTCAAGAAGGATTTCCCCATGCCTCGTCGAAGCACCATCCAGTCTGCCACTGTGAGCTACAGGTACGTTGACGGTGTACGTGAAAATTGCACGTGAATATGCACTCATACCTTCGTCAATTTGTTTGCTTGGCGGGGGAGAGGGGGGGGGAGCCGTAGCGGCCTCCCTCCGCCGAGGACTAGCACTTCGTCACTCGTCCAGTTAATTTGCGACAGTTACCGGCACTGGTATCTTAAGCTTTTCTCGCTAGGCATGAGATTGCTTTTCCCCGACACAGCCAATCTGGTAGTTTCTAGGCACAAGTGCCATTCATATAGTCCAATTAATATAATTAAAGAATATTTCTTTCATTTCTTTACAGACGGACACTCCCTCCAAGGTCTGACTAGGACATGGGCCAGACAACAGCAAGACAGCTGCTAAATATATGGCAGAAGAGATTGGTCCCATTCTGCACAAAAAGCTTGTTCATAACAGAACCTTTTTGTGCAGAGGATTATGAAGATATTTTTTGAGGGCCGCCAAGATTCTTTGACAGATTTGATGGCCCCTTCAAGATTTCCTGCGGTCTTAAGAGGTCCCATCAGTCTTTTCTGAAGTTCTAAAGGGGCCCTTTACAATTTTCTGCAAGGTCTGATGGGCCCTTTAGTTTTTCCTGAGGGTTTAAGGGGTGCATTAAATGCTTTCTGGGGTCTCTTACATTTTTCGGTTGGTATGAGGGGACAAAAAAAGAGGTTGACACATCGGTAATTTTTCAGGGATGCGTTTGTTTTAAGTGTTGTCCGAAGGTTCATTAATACAGACGTAGAACCTCGGAATTGTGAACTCATTTCAAGCCGATACTCTGTGCTGTAAAAGGAAAAACATTCTCGTATGTTCTCGACTACAAGCAATCAAATTAATTGTGATGCATGTGTACTACTCTTTAAAATATTTTTGTAATCATTTCATTACCTTTTACGTAGTCATCTCGCAGCTCCAGTTCGCCCTATGTTTCGTAAAATAAAAGAGAACAAAAATGTTAGAAAGCTGAATACTTTTTTATTTGCAATCAGAGCCAGGGCAGAGGCACCTTTCTCACACTTGAAGGTAGATGCCTACTCTCCCTTGGAAGGGGCGCACCTCTCCTTTGCGCGGCGAAGCCTCTCTTTGACTTCCGTTTCCACCTCTTCTTTCGTAGACTCTTTGCAGTACTTTGTCCGCTTTACAGCATCTGAAAGCAATAGATGACACTTATAGTACAACTTAAAAAGGCAAGGAATTGCGTCGCAAACTTCTACTTACTGACCGCGACCGCTCCAACTTGGAGCGCCCTTCTTCGTAGGAATCTGTAGTTACATAAGAAAAACATACAGTTAATGAACACTGCTGCAAGCATACATGCCACTACCACGGAGGGGCATCGGGGCTCGTGCCCCCCCTGGTGAGATCTGGGGGAAGGGGGGGGGGGGGGGGGCGGAAGAGCCCCCCCCCCCCCCCCCCCCCCGGGCTATGATCCTTACGGAGACGCTGTTTACGTGCCATGTAACGAGCTTCTAGTAGTGGCATGTAAACAAAATAACGCCCACGTTGGCATTATCGACAAAATGCATGGGAAATGGAATCCCAGCGTGCTTTCGTTAGCTTCAATCTCCAGTTCTGGCGAGAAGGTAACGCGGCATTGATTCCTTTTACGTCCGCTTGGTCTGCTTCTACAGCAGCCTGCCATTTTGCAATGTCCCACCAGAAAAAAAAAAAAAATAGATATATAAAACAAGTGGAAGTTCATACAGAGGGCGCCTACTCCATCCGGAGCTGTTCCAAAAGTCCGTTTAGTAGTGACTCCGACGGAGTTACCCGAACTGGATTCGTGGAGTCACAACTTAACGCGCCCAATGAAGCGATGGATGATGCAGTCGACCGCGGAGAGCCGCATGCGTGAGAAAATATTAGTTGGCAAGTCGTTAATAAAAATTAGAAAAATTAATGGACCAAGAGTACTGCTCTTACAATGATAGCTGAAGAAGATATACATACGTTGTAAAATATACCCCCTAAATTAAACTACTCTTAATTGCCGGTTTAAAATTGCGCAAAAAAACAAATCCCCCCCTCCTCTCCTCTCCCTCTCCCCTCCCCCCCCCCCCTCCCTCCCCCCCCTCCCCCCTCGGAGAACTTCTCAGCCTGCACCGCCGGGGAAATGGAAAGTCTACGCCGCTGGCTGCAAGCACAAAGAGATGCAATACACTCACTGAATAGTCCTTTCACAGTCACCTCGAACTCAGAAAACCCTGGTCCTGGTGGCCCCCCAATTCGCACCAGCTGTTGAGCCTTATCGGTTGACACCTTCGGCCATAAACAGTTGTTTCCCGTGACCCACGTGCAAGGCACGATCTCCATCTCTTGGGTTATCGTAAATTCCACAATTGCATACATCCCTGAAAATGAATAGAAAAACTGATGTGAGAAAGTCATCAACACTCACCGGATCTAAAAAGTTATGCAAAAGCTAAACATTTACCTTGAGCTGCTGAAATGGCGGCGGTTTCACGGTACCGTCGCTTTCACCGACAGTAAAACGTAAAACCCGGTCGTGGTAACACCAGAGTCCAAACCACGCGCTCCTAGAGCCGACAATGCACAAATATCGATGGATTTTGTTGGCTATGGATTTTAACGGATATGTGACACTAGCGGCACCTAGAAAAGTTGAAAACTACATGACGTCGGGGTTAAACATCAATAAATAAATAAATTGGTAGCATTTGTTTTATTCATACATTAGTTTGGTGACTTATCAATTTAAACAAATCTCCACAGACAAATTATAACAGCACAGTCGTACCGTCGGTGTCATCCTTGGTGTTATCCTACGTTGATTTCATGAATTGCAGTTTACACCAACACGCTCGGCAACAAGCAGTAAAATAATTATGCCTAATTTTTAACAACAAACAAGAAAAGTAGCGAGAAGTATATTCTTATTGAATCATATACCGACTAACCACTGATCGGTATAGCCAGCTTCGCGACCTCACCTGTCTCGGCTGGCAACCCGATTTTCGAGTTTTGTTCTTTTTCTTTGTTTCTTCCGTGTCCACGTTGTTGCTGTCGCGTGTCAACGGTTATACAACGGTGTTACTAAAATATTTTTATTTCTGTTTTAAGTAGTATGGTGCGTGTGTGGCAGTACTCACGTTGGACAATGTTCCAGAAGAACTTTTCGTCTAGTTGAACTATCTGCTTGAGTTGTCCATTTCGGGTTAGTACTTGCTTTCCATACCACGTCCTTTTTTTCCATCCCCCTCTCTTTTTGTGTTACTCGAAATTCATTCCGTTCGTGTTTTCGTAAGTAGCGTCCTAAAGGACTAGTACAGATGTTGGCTAGCGTTTCACAACTTTCGTTCACCTATAGTTGAACGGCCTACTTGTTTCTATTTTTGGGAAAGTTAGTTTAGTCTCATTCTGAACCGCTTCGTTATTTCGCGCATATCATCCGTACCACGCTTTGTTTTTTCCGTCTTCGCCCGTTCCTGTCTGGCTGGAAGCACATCCAGTCTGCGACTGTGAGCTACAGGTACGTTGACGGTGTACGTGAAAATTGCACGCACTCATGCCTTTGTCAACTTGTTTTCTTAGGTCTGCACGGTGGAGAGGGGCTTCCCCACGCCTGGGTCAAGCACATCCAGTCTGCCACTGTGAGCTTCAGGTACGTTGACAGTGTACGTGACAATTGCCCTCACTTATGCCTTTGTCAACTTGTTTTCTTAGTGCTGCACGGTGGACAGGGGTTTCCCCACGCCTGGGTCAAGCACATCCAGTCTGCCGCTGTGAGCTACAGGTACGTTGAAGGTGTATGTGAAAATTGCCCTCACTTACGCCTTTGTCAACTTGTTTTCTTAGGGCTGCACAGTGGAGAGGGGTTTCCCCACACCTGGGTCAAGCACATCCAGTCTGCCGCTGTGAGCTACAGGTACGTTGACGGTGTACGTGAAAATTGCCCTCACTTATGCCTTTCTCAACTTGTTTTCTTAGGGCTGCGCGGTGGAGAGGGGTTTCCCCACACCTGGGTCAAGCACATCCAGTCTGCCGCTGTGAGCTACAGGTACGTTGACGGTGTACGTGAAAATTGCCCTCACTTATGCCTTTGTCAACTTGTTTTCTTAGGTCTGCACGGTGGAGAGGGGCTTCCCCACGCCTGGGTCAAGCACATCCAGTCTGCCGCTGTGAGCTACAGGTACCTTGACGGTGTATGTGATAATTGCCCTCACTTATGCCTTTGTCAACTTGTTTTCTTAGGGCTGCACGGTGGAGAGGGGTTTCCCCACACCTGGGTCAAGCACATCCAGTCTGCCGCTGTGAGCTACAGGTACGTTGACAGTGTATGTGATAATTGCCCTCACTTATGCCTTTGTCAACTTGTTTTCTTAGGTCTGCACGGTGGAGAGGGGCTTCCCCACGCCTGGGTCAAGCACATCCAGTCTGCCGCTGTGAGCTACAGGTACGTTGACGGTGTATGTGATAATTGCCCTCACTTATGCCTTTGTCAACTTGTTTTCTTAGGGCTGCACGGTGGAGAGGGGTTTCCCCACACCTGGGTCAAGCACATCCAGTCTGCCGCTGTGAGCTACAGGTACGTTGACAGTGTATGTGATAATTGCCCTCACTTATGCCTTTGTCAACTTGTTTTCTTAGGTCTGCACGGTGGAGAGGGGTTTCCCCACACCTGGGTCAAGCACATCCAGTCTGCCGCTGTGAGCTACAGGTACGTTGATGGTACATGTGATAATTGCCCTCACTTATGCCTTTGTCAACTTGTTTTCTTAGGGCTGCACGGTGGAGAGGGGTTTCCCCACACCTGGGTCAAGCACATCCAGTCTGCCGCTGTGAGCTACAGGTACGTTGACGGTGTATGTGATAATTGCCCTCACTTATGCCTTTGTCAACTTGTTTTCTTAGGTCTGCACGGTGGAGAGGGTCTTCCCCACGCCTGGGTCAAGCACATCCAATCTGCCGCTGTGAGCTACAGGTACGTTGACGGTGTATGTGATAATTGCCCTCACTTACGCCTTTGTCAACTTGTTTTCTTAGGGCTGCACGGTGGAGAGGGGTTTTCCCACACCTGGGTCAAGCACATCCAGTCTGCCGCTGTGAGCTACAGGTATGTTGACAGTGTACGTGACAATTGCCCTCACTTATGCCTTTGTCAACTTGTTTTCTTAGTGCTGCACGGTGGACAGGGGTTTCCCCACGCCTGGGTCAAGCACATCCAGTCTGCCGCTGTGAGCTACAGGTACGTTGAAGGTGTATGTGAAAATTGCCCTCACTTACGCCTTTGTCAACTTGTTTTCTTAGGGCTGCACGGTGGAGAGGGGTTTCCCCACACCTGGGTCAAGCACATCCAGTCTGCCGCTGTGAGCTACAGGTACGTTGACAGTGTACGTGACAATTGCCGTCACTTATGCCTTTGTCAACTTGTTTTCTTAGTGCTGCACGGTGGACAGGGGTTTCCCCACGCCTGGGTCAAGCACATCCAGTCTGCCGCTGTGAGCTACAGGTACGTTGACGGTGTATGTGATAATTGCCCTCACTTACGCCTTTGTCAACTTGTTTTCTTAGGGCTGCACGGTGGAGAGGGGTTTCCCCACACCTGGGTCAAGCACATCCAGTCTGCCGCTGTGAGCTACAGGTACGTTGACAGTGTACGTGACAATTGCCCTCACTTATGCCTTTGTCAACTTGTTTTCTTAGTGCTGCACGGTGGACAGGGGTTTCCCCACGCCTGGGTCAAGCACATCCAGTCTGCCGCTGTGAGCTACAGGTACGTTGAAGGTGTATGTGAAAATTGCACGCACTCATGCCTTTGTCAGCTTGTTTTCTTAGGGCTGCACGGTGGAGAGGGGTTTCCCCACACCTGGGTCAAGCACATCCAGTCTGCCGCTGTGAGCTACAGGTACGTTGACAGTGTATGTGATAATTGCCCTCACTTATGCCTTTGTCAACTTGTTTTCTTACGGCTGCATGGTGCAGAGGGACCTCCCCATGCCTGGATTTTGCACCATATGTTCATAACACACTTAAACTTCCCTTTAGATGACAGGGAATAGCTTTTCCCCGTCATCTACAGGTAGGTTTCAGTGTGTTGTGAATATGCACTCATACCTTCATCAATTTGTTTGCTTGGCGGGGGAGAGGGGGAGCCGTAGCGGCCTCCCTCCACCGAGGACTAGCACTTCGTCACTCGTCCGGTTAATTTGCGATAGTTACCGGCACTGGTATCTTAAGCTTTTCTCGCTAGGCATGAGATTGCTTTTCCACGACACAGCCAATCTGGTAGATAACATAGGCTAAAAATACTGAAAAAGTCTCTAGGCACAAGTGCCATTCATATAGTCCAATTAATATAATTAAAGCATATTTCTTTCATTTGTTTACAGACGGACACTCCCTCCAAGGTCTGACTAGGACATGGGTCAGACAACAGCAAGACAGCTGCTAAATATATGGCAGAAGAGCTTTCCAGGGCAGAAAGGTATTGCACAGTTGACAAAAAGGGCGACTGTCGAGGAGTGGAGCCACCAGAAGATCTGGAGAAAATGCATACTATTAAAATTATCATCTTATTTCAATATAGATTTGGCTCATGGTCTTTCATTAGCACAGCATGCGGGCTAGAGTACGACATTTTGAACATTCATAGCTGTCCAAGTAAAGGGTAAAGCATAAAGCGCCGTTCACACTCTTGCGACCGAGAGACCAGACCGGTTTTTAAGCCTTTTGCGACTTCTTAGGACCGGATGCGCTGCAGCGGAGCTGGTCCTAAGAGATCGCAAGAGGCTTAAAAACCGGTGTGGTCTCTCTCGGTTTTACTCGGTCGCAAGAGTGTGAACGGGCCTTTAGACGTATTGCCCTAATCCCTAGGGATTTTGAGGCGCGATATTCAAAGTATGTCCGCTGAGGATCCCTGTTCGGATGTCCTCCGGATGTACAAAACTCTTACCTTTGTACGTCCGTCGGACGTCCACGGGACGTCCTTCGGATTTTCGCGGATGGCCCTCGGATGTACGATATATCCGAAAAGGATATCCATCGGATGTCCGATGGATGTCCAGTGGTTGCTTGGGGTCAGTCAAGATTAAAATACAAATGGCTGTCTTTCACAACCTTGTGCTGCAGCGAGTGGCGACTCCGGCACCTACGTTCTTACAAGCGTCTCCGGCTTCTGATGGGGCAGCAGTGCCCCAAGCGATTCCTGCTCAACAGCAGCAAATGTCACAACAAAACATCATTATTGAATGCTTGATGTCAACGCTCAGCGTGGAAATAAAAGGCCCAGATACGAGGCGGTAAAGCTAGACATCTTCGACGGGTAGTTAGAGTCCGGAAGGTTGGATTGCTTTCTTTGAGTACGCCTGCGAAAAAAAATTCCTGGACTTCAGAACGAGACCGCACACAAAACATGCGCCTTTTTCTTGGAGGAGTAGCGAAGCAATGGTACAAGTTACACTTGGTTAACCATGCTGGCGAGCCTTGAAACGAATAGAAATCCAACTTCTTGACTACGTTCCAAGGAAATGCTGTGGAAAGGAGGGACCAAGCCATGCTATTGCATTTCAAGCCTGGGTCTGGTACTTTTCTGCTTTTTTCTGCTTTTCGGCGACAGTGCACAGAGTAGGGCATGGGAGTTGCTGGCACTCCTCGGTCTATATGCGCTGTGGCGGTCGAGGACGGATCACTTGGAGGTCCAAGAGGGATCCTAGCCCGCCTGGAAACACTTCTGCGACGGCTTTCTGTACGTGAGCAGCCTTCTTGAGGCGACGGAACAACAAGGGCTTGAAATGTTGGTCGCTATTTGGAACGCGTATGCATAACCGCGCTCTAAAGGCTCAGTGGTAAACAAGGATTCCCGGGCCACTGCGCGAGTGGCTGCTTGGGGTGCATGTGACGCTACAGAGAAATGATTGAGCGAGATACATTTTGAATTTGTGTGTGAATCGCGGTCCTCGCCTGTCAAACAGTGCTCACTGTATGGCAACCAATGTGATCATTTTAAAACTTTGTAAATAGACATACTTTTAATAAAAAAAAGTGGCGTAGCATAGCGGTGAAGTTGTCCGATTTGTACGCATGTGGTCGCGGGTTCAATGCGCGGTGGTGCTGGTTTTTTTTTTTTTTTTTTCTCGAACATTTTGTTTTATTGAGGCATTTGGCGATATTTATGAGTGCGTATAGCTTTACTCTTATATAAATGCTGCCCTTGTT